ACTCCCCATGCTAATAACCCTCCATGTGATCTACATTTCTGTGCTTTTGTTCCTGTTCTAGTTGTTTGCTTAATTCGTTTTTGTTACTGTGGGGTTTTTTTTTTGGGGGGGGGGGTGGTTGTTAATAGTTGTGAGTTTGTTGTGATTTTACTCTTCATATTCTTGATCTTCTTTTTCTTAGATAGGTCCCTTTAACATTTCATGTAATAAGGGCTTGGTGATGATGAACTCCTTTAACTTGACCTTATCTGGGAAGCACTTAATCTGCCTTTCCATTCTAAATGATAGCTTTGCTGGATAGAGCAATCCTGGATAAAGAATCTTGCCTTTCTTAGCTTTAAATACTTCTTTCCAGCCCCTTCTTGCCTATAAGGTTTCTTTTGAGAAATCAGCTGATAGTCTAATCAGAACTCCTTTGTAGGTAACTGTCTTCTTTTCTCTTGCTGCTTTTCAGATCCTCTCCTTATCTTTAATCTTGGGTAATGTACTTATAATGAGTCTTGGTGTGTGCTTCCTTGGGTCCAACTTCTTTGTGAACTGTGTATTTCATTGTGTACCCACCATGCAAAGTCAAATCATATTCCAGTGTATGAATGAGCTTTTGATAACACCCTTTCTTTTAGACATGAAAATTGTCTATAAGTGATAGTTGTCTTGCTTCGTGATTGGAGTTCGTTGATACCAGGATGCAAGTGCAGCCCTGACACTTAGGTTGCCTTCTCTAGGACTCAGTTTTCTCATCTGTAAATGGGTATAATGGCAGTCATGGTGCCGCGAGAGTGATCGGCAGGACTAGAGATGGCAGCCACTGGTAGAGCACCTGGCACATCCTTGATAGTCAGTGACCTTGATGATAATGCTTTATATCTGCTGTCCTCTTCACCACCACCATCACTGTCACCGTCACCGTCACCATGGTGCGGCAGAAGAAAAAAGAATGCTCAGAAGTGCTGCCCTCGTGGAGTCTGGTGGCCGTGGAACACGCGTGGCCATCCTGAGGGAGCGGATGGGGCCCGTGGCTGTGCGGAGAGGGCTTGGTTCTCCCCCAGGCCCCCCCCGGGGGCCCGTGTTGCCCATTAGCAGAGGTGAGCCTGGAGCGGGAACTGCAGAGATGCAGTGACCTGTCCAGCACTCAAAAATAGTCCTCAGCAGGAAGATCGCAGGACTTCATTTTGGCTCTTCTACTTCTAGGATTTTCTTTTTTTTTTTTCCTGAGAAGATGGTATTACAATGCAGAAAGAATTTTTAAAGAAGTAAATCATCGTAATCCCAACACGCGAGTGAGCGGATGTTCTCTAGCTGCGGCCACGCCGGGCCTGACGTTCACACAGCTGCAGGCGATTTAGTCACCGTATCAGCCACGCTCCTCCTTGTCTTCGCCGCGCTGTTGCACAAAGAGGTGACAGTCTCGCCGAGGGGACGCTCCGCCCTTCCCTCCGTGCTGAGGCACAACTTCCTCCTGAACATCATTTTATTATGCTGCTTCTGCCGATTCGTTTTCTTGGGGGTATTATTCCCTAAGGTAGGAATTTTCTGTCAAAGGAGAGGAATGTCTCTGTGGCTTCGTTTGGAGCGTTTTACAGAAATAAATCATCACGTCCTTTTTTGCACGTTCGTTCCCATGTCATCAGTGTGGAACCAAGCGGGGGCGTGGCCGACCATCTGGGGACACACTCCAGACAGCGCAGCAGCTGCTCGCTCGCGCATTTATCCTGTGACTGTGGTGCTCCTTCGAAAACCATGATTTGCCCTGATTCATTTTCTCTCCTCCTCCTCCTCAGCACTTCCGGAGGGAGGGCTTCCCGAGTTTTCTCGGAAATTCATCTTTTGTTTACTTTCAGAGTCACGACTTGTTTGCATATGTGCAACCAGGACCAAGTTGTTTGCAGATGCCAGGGGTCCTGCCTGGCCTGGTGGCCCGGTAGCCCCGGTAGTTGGAGCGCTGTCCAGGACGCCAAAAGGGTTGGGGTTTGACTCTAGTCAGGGAGCACACCTCTGCTGTGGGCTCCGTGCCTGGGAGGCGACTAACTGGTGTTTCTCAGTCTCCCCAGCCCCCATCTCTCTAAAATCAATAAACAAATCCTCAGGTGAGGATAAATAAATAAATAAGGGAGGCTTTGCCCCGGCCCATGTGGATCCGTTGGTTGGGATGGTTTGATTCCCGGTCGGGGCACAGACCTGGGGGGTGCGTTGCATCCCAGGCCCAGGGACCACGGGAGGCAGCCCGCCCCTGCTCTCTGTTGCATTGACGTTTCTCTCCCTCCCCCTTCTCTCTCTAAAAGCAATAAAGAATGTCCTCGGGTGAGGATTTTGTTTTAAAGTTGGGGCTTTTAAGTCATTTCTCACAAAGCTAAGCACAAAAGAATATTTTCGTAGACTACAAAAGAACATGGAATGTGGGATTGGTTTTCTAATTCAAACATTTCCTTCTGTGCGCATAGTAGGGACAGTTCCAAGTCCACAGAGAGTCAGGACCAGGAGGTGGGGAGGGTAGAGGGTTAGGGGATGAACCCTCGCAGTCACCCTCCAGTCCGGGAAGATGAACCTGCCAGGGTCAGAGTGAGGGACAGAACAAAACTCCATCCCAGTAACTTACGATGCCCCTGCCGGCACTGAGTTTCGTTTTGCCCTCTCATCAGAAGTTTCCTGCTGAGCTTTTTATTTTAAAATAAGCATAGCTTGAAAGTGGTTGTGTTTCCTATCAGTATTGGATAAGGCCCCCTTCCGAGTTAGGGGAACCGCCCAGGTGGGATAGCAGTTGTTAAATAAAGGCCGGGTGGCCCTGGCCTGGTGGCTGGGTTGAAGCATCCTCGCCGAACTGAAAGGTTCGATTGGGCAGGGCGCGTGCCTGGGTTACGGGTTCACCGCCGCTTGGGGCACATGTGGGAGGCAGCTGATCCATGTTTCTCTCTCCCATTGATGTTCTGTCTCTGAAAGGCAATGGGAAAGCCAGTGAGGATGAAAAAAAAGTTAGCTTTTTTTTTAGTATTAAATTCTTTTGTTTAAAAGGGGGTGGTGGTGGTTAGGGTGAATTCTCGTCTGTCTAGCAATGATAAAAACAGATGAGAGCTCCAACAAATCAGTTTAAACTAGAAGGCCGGATTTCTTTTCCAGGTAAATTTTGCAGCTGCAATGGGGGAAAGTGAGTTCCAAGGTCCCGCGCTTGTGGGGCCAGGGTGGTATCTGCTGCTGCCTGGGGCAGAGCTAACCGCCCCCCCAACTTGGTGGGAGCCCTGAGGAAGCTTTGTGGGGTGCAGGGACCTTCTTGGGACTAGGGAATCAGCCTGGGCTGCTGGTAGCCTAGCTCTGGGCCTGGTGGGTGGCTCCAGCACAGAGCAGGGACGTGAGGCAGGTGGGGTACGAATGGGCTGAGAGCCTGGCGCCCACTGGAGGGCGGTGTGGGAGGGTGGACCAGGTGGGTGCGTGTACAGGCGGCCCCTCCACCTTCCACCCATCTCCACACTGCTTTCCCACCCTCCCCCAGGTGTGGTGACCATGCAGCCGCAGGTTCCCTCCCTCGATTCCAGCCACAGTTCCATCTCTTGTCTGCATCAACCTGTTGCACATCTGGGAAAATGAAGGTGACTAGCCAACAGGAATGGCGGCTTTGCTGGTGGCTGGAGCTAACCTGGTGGTGTTTTGTCTCAGCTCCTGGTCCTGGGCCGTCCCAGCCAGAGACAGCTCCAGGCCTGGCCAGACACCCGTCTTCTGGGACATTCCAGGCTTGGCCTGAGGAAGCAGCGCTCTAAAGTTTACGTGTCTACGTTTGAAACTGATGTACCAGTTCTGCGCGTCACAGGGCATTTTTCACGCAGCTTAACTAACACACTTGGGATTTGCTCTGTTTTGCTTGTAGTGAGGTTTTGGGGGTTTTTTGAAGCTTGTTTTTTTCCTAGAGAGAGGTTAATGTAGGATCCGGCACCAAAAAAATGCCCCTTTTTTATTAGAAAATCATAAGCATGTAATAAATTATTTAACATAACAACATCACACTCAAGCATACCATATGACATTTTAGGTGAAATGTTCAAATTAAAACTATAAATGATTACATGCATATTATTACCCTAGCAACCACGCTCAAGCTGGGGCTACTTCTGCTGGACCCTGTACACTGCACATTCTTGTCAGGACTCAGCCTGGGCTAGTTTGGGGGTTACCGGCCAGTCTCCTCGATTCCTAAACCTTGATTTGGGATTTAGAAAATATACTCTTCTTCCTCCTCCTCTTCCTCTTCTCCTTCTTCTTCTCTTTGCACCTGTGTCCTCTCAGCGGAAAGGACAATAATTTGGGCCTCAGGGGTCACTCCAAGGGTCAGACCAGGCGGGGATGGTGCCGGAGCTGTTCTGTGAGGTATAATGGTGGAGCTGTGACTTCTGACATGACTTCTGTAGTAATGCTTTTCCCCTCACCCGCGAGCACGGGGCTGGGCATGTGCGGAGATGCTTGTTGAACTGTGTGGAACAAAGTTGTCGGGGCCAAGCCCCTCCACAGGACAGAAGAAAGGAAGATGTTGTGAGGGTGGGTTGGGCTGGGACAGGGGTCGGAGCTCAGCGCACCCGCCCCTGCAGCAGCGGGCTGGGAGGGGCTGCAGGCTGGGGGCCCGGGCTTCCGGCAGGCAGGCTGCTGGGGTGAGCTGGGTACCAAAGCTGCTCCAAGGGCCCCGCCCGCCTGCTCTGCCCTGCCTCCCCCGGGTTCACGCCGACTGCACCTTCACTGTGGCTTTCCTTGATTCGTGCTCGAAGATGTCGAAACAAAGCAGGAAGCTGCCGCCTTCTTTTCAGGGAGTCCCAAGTAATTGCTCAATGTTTCCTTTTGTTTCCCCTCTCATTCCAAAACTGTGTACAATGGAACTCCACCCTTTAAAAAATGTCTTCAAAAATCCCCGCCGCAGTCAATTTACCGTTTCGATACACTGATTTTTGCTGAGTTTTCCACGTTTATCTCTCTGTGCTCTCAAACTCATCCTCGTTTTCTCTCCTCTTTTCTTCCTGGCTCAGAAGTTGGAGGGACTCGTCAAGCCCCGGACTGTTCGGGAAGCGCCAGCCGAATGCGTCTGTTCCCAGGGTAAGTGCGCGGTTGATCCTCGCCGGCCTCCGACTTCTGTGTACCCGTCTTTCCTCCCGTCTGTGTGCTCAGAACTGCCAAGGACATGGTCACGGTTGTCACTGTGGTCTCAGGCTGTCTGTTTTTCCTGGTGGCCCATCCTGGGGCCATTCGTCCCACATCTTCCCTGGCAGGCATAGCACTAGTCAGAGATCCAGCGAGATTGACGGCCTCGGTTTGATGGGGATGGTGGTGTTGAGGGGGGAGCTGAGAACAGCTAGACACGGCTTGAAATAGCGGCTCAGATGCTGGGGAGGAGCCCGCCCGCCCGCCCACGATGAAGCTGGAGAGACAGGCGTGAGGCAGCCACGGGGCGCACAGCACGTTGACCTCAGCTCTATTTCCGACTTTGGAGAGTGGGGGTGATAATATGCCTAAATCGGTTTTTGTTTGTTTGTTTGTTTTTATTTCTTTCAGTCTGGGTAGAAGAAGGGGGCAGGAAACATGGTCTGAATTATTCAAATAATCCCGACTCTCTGGGGGTTTGGTGGTGTAGACCAGTGTGGCTGTGAATAGAGCCAGGAGTGTTGATCCCTAACCCACTTGGCTGGATGCTGACTCACATCAGGGCTTCCCGTGGTGCTCATGGGCGCTCTGCACAGGCAATGACTGAGAACTTAGGCGTGTGGTTTAAGGTTCGCCTTAGCCCCTTGTAAGGTGGTACGTGCACCAGTAAATGGGTGGAAGGTCATAACACTTCCCAGACTTCTCTCCGTGTTGGACGAGGTGACCGAACAGCTGAACCCAGTGGCCCTTGTCCTCACTGTTACACCTGCCGGTAGTCAAGTCACCTGGCATTTCCAATCTCCTTCTCGAGTCCAGAAATCGAGCTCACTCATAACCGACGTCTCCAGGTTGGGAGCCGCCCTGACGTCTGCCAAGGTGTGCCTCCTGCTGTGAGGCCTCACGGGTCCCTAGGGGCCAGCGGGAGAGGGTGTGACGGTCCAGCTTGAGCTAACTTTCAAGGGTAGCACCTCCAAGGTTTCGACGGTGGGGGGGGTGGAGGACGTGACAAGTGAAGGCCTCGGTACTTGTTCAGTAAGTCAGAAGTTAAATTCAATGGGGAGAAAATGAGGGAGACCCAAAAATATGACTTTTCGGATGATCCACAAAACGTATGAAATGAGTGCGATTCCTCTTTGTTCCCCTTCCATCTTTCTCAGTGTCGTATGGATGTAAATTCACATGTGTTATGTGGGTAAAAGTGTTCTAACCGGGGAGGCACAGCGCGTTCGTAAGCTGTGAAGTCAGTTCTGTGGGTCACGGCAGCACTGTGAAGTTTTGAACGACCGTAGACTTGAATGCAAACTCCTGGGGGGGGGGTTTGTTTCGGCTGCATCTGCTTACAGGCATGGCCTGGGTGGCTGGTTGGAAGTTTGAAAGTCCCAAATACTGGTGATGGATGGACAGGGACAAGGAGGCAGGGAGGGGCCTGGAGCCCTAAATAAATCCAAGCCAAATCCAAACCTCAGTCTGCCACTTAGTAACTGGAAGGCTCTTCACCAAAATACGATGACATGTTACAGGTGTGGGCTCCAGAGACTGGTTTTGGAGTCGCAGAGAAAGAACAGGTCAAAGCCCATCTTCCCTTGGGGGATCCCCGACCACAAAGGGATGCTCCAAGAGGGTGTCAGGGAAGACCACGGAGGCTGAAAGGCTGGCCAGAACCTGCAGCCCCACTGACAAGGGGACGGGGACCTCCCCTGCTCTCTGAGGGGAGGGGCCCTGCTGGCGGTCAGCACTGGGCTGCTGCCGTCCAGCCACCCGGCATCAGTGGGCTGTGTGCCCAGGGCTCGTGCCCACGCCGGCTGCACTTTCTCTCCTGCTGCTTGGAGCCGGAGGACTCACTAGAGCCCTTTGGGCCAGAGCCCTAATTGATGCGAAAGCCCGGAGGCTGGCACGTTCTCCAACAGAGGCCTTTTCTCCGGCACCAGAAGCCTTGACTCATCGCCGGTCTCCCTGTCTCTGATCTGCCCGCGGGCTCTTGGAGTCCAGACACACATAGACCACCCTGCGCCGCGTGGGTCCCCATCTGATTTGAGATACCCGCAGATCCCCCTGCCTGGCTCCTTCCCACGCCTGGGGGACACTGTAACCTTTTGTCAGATGCTAGGATGCAGCAGACGGATATGGAGGCCAGGGAAGGGGCGGGGGCTCTTCTTGTGTGCTGCACATTGTGAAGCGGTGCTGAGTGGGAGCCCGGAAGCTGAGGGCAGGGGCCCGCGGCTGCTCCTGCCCCAGTCAGTGGCGGGAGGGAGAGCTGGCAGGCCTGGGCCCTGACGTAGTCCTGGGACCTTGGACAAAGGAAGGGCCGCTGAGCCTTGCACCCCTTATCTATAAAATGGTGTAGCAGGTTGAATTGTGTCCCCCTAAAGGTGTGTCCCAGTCCCCACATCCCCATACTTATAAATGTGGCCTTATTTGCAAATAAGGTCTTTGCAGATATAACTAAGTTAAGGATCTTGAGATAAGATCGTTCAGGATTTAGGCCGGGCCCTAAAGTCAATGATGGATGTTCTTATAAGACACAGAAGGGACAGATTTGAGACACAGAGACACTCAGAGGAGATGGCCCTGGGGAGCGGAGGCAGCAGCCGTCTGACGCAACCAGGACGTCTGAGGACTGAGTGCAGCCCCTCCCACTCCCACCCCCACCCTCCACCGTCCCCTTTTCCTGGCAGGAGCTGGAGGGGCATGGAAGGGATTCATTCTCCCTTCCAGAGAACCCGCCTGCCGACACCTTGATTTTGGGTTCTGGCCTTCAGAACTGAAGAAGATGAACTTCTGTCATCCCAAACCACCCAGTCTGTGGTGATTCGACACAGCAGCCTTAGGGAACTAAAACAAATGGGAATAATAATCGTCCTGAGGGCTTTACAAGGTTGCTGAGAGGACTGAAACGTGAGGGACAGAGGAGTTTCCTGCATGTGGCCCAGGTGCGAGTGTGGGCCAGGTGTGAGTGTGGGCCAGGTGTGCAGGCTGCCAGCTGCACCCACCCCCAGCCTGCTCCTTCTCACACCTGCCCCCAAAGGGTCTTCTCCTCCTTCCACAGAAACTGGCTTCAGACAGTGCCACCGACCCGTGTCCCTCCGGTCCTCCAACACCCTCTGATGCGACTGATGTACTGAAACATTTAAAAATTGTGTTTAAGGTTTTTAAATGGTTCATTTTTAGTAGAAAATAATATATGATGTGATAAAAAAATTCAAGTACTACGGAAGATTACATGCGAACCCCGCCCCCATGCACACACAGTCTCCCGCTCCCCTTTCCCAGCGGCATTACCAGTCGCTGACTCCTGCTGGGGCGACACTGGCAGATGGAGCTCCCGAGATGGTGGAAATGCGCGCCGTCCAGTGAGTGGCCGGATTAGCTCCTGGTGGTTATTGAGCCCCTGAAACAGGTCTGAAGCAACTGGCAAAGTGAATTTGTGTATCATTTTAATTAACTTTAAGTAACCATGTGTAGCTGGTGGCTATTGTACCAAACAGCCTGATTTTTGAGGTACCTGATGCACATTTCAGCCCGTAGCTCCCTTCCTGTTTTTATACAAATAGTAACATACATTGTTGCAGTTTTACAGTTTGCAGTTTGTCTTTGAGATGGTCCGACTCTGTCCAATACCAGAGAGCAGGTGCCGTGGTGTTCGGGTTACATGATGGAGCCCTGTCAGGCTGTTGGGCCGGCCTGTGGGGAAGCCGGCCTTCCCTGCAGGGACACTTGGCTTCTCTCTTGCCGTGTGTTCCTGCAGAACATCCTCTGGGGGAGCTTTGGAGGGAAGGAGGCCCACTGCCTCGCCGTCCTCTGCCTTCCTTGTGCTCTGTCCTAGGCCTGCCTTGCGGCACACGGCAGGGCCTGCAGACACCGGGCTGGGAGCAGGAGCCTTCAGTCTGCCAGGGGAGCCCGCCCTCAGAGCAGCAATCTGGGCACCTGGAGATGCTGGCACCAGGCCCCCTGACGTGCTATGAAGGATCGTGATACTCGAGAGTCCCAAAGGACCGCTCAGGGCTGGCACCCGGGTGCCTGGATCCACTCACGCAGCTGCCGTGTGGCCCCGCCCTGCATGTGTGGAGGCAGGGTCTGCTCTGGTGTTGAGGTCCTGGCCTTAGCTAACTGTCCTTGTTAGGAGCCTCAGAACATTCACGGACGTTCGCGCCATGCTATTGCACCTCAGTAACAGAGAAGGGGAATTGTTAGCTCGTGTAACTGGAAACGAAAAGGTCACAGGCAGAGCCGGATTCCGGTGTGTGCCGGGCTCGGGGGCTCTCTCTCCGTCTCTCAGCTCCTCTCCGCATCGTTCTCAGCCAGCATCTGGGGGGGGGGGAAGGTGGCCCCCAGCAGCTCCGCAGGGAGAGCACGCCTTCTCGGCAGCCCCAGCAGACAAAGCTCTGTCCCTCTCAAAGGCCCCAGCATCGGGGAACGGAGACGCCTTCTGGGCTGGAGAACCGTGACCTCCCCACAATTCCCACCTTCAAGTCCTAGACCCCTCAGCACCTGAGAATGTGTCTGTAGTTGGAAATACAGTTTTTAAAGAGGTAATTGAGTTAGAATGAGGTTGTAAAAGTGGGCCCTGATCTGGTATGACCAGTGCCCTTCCAAGAAGTGAAGAGCAGGACACAGAGGCACGCAGTGGGAAGACCACGTGCAGACAAGCCTAGGAGGGAGGCCTCGGGAGGAACCCGCCTGCTGACACCCTGACTTTGGACTTCCAGCCTCCAGAGCTGTGAGAAAAGGAGCGCCTGTCGTGTGAGCCCCAGACCGCGGTGCTCCGTGCGATGGCTGCCAAGCGCGGCACAGGGGCTGCTGCTGGTTGGGCGCCACGCCCACCTGGGGGGCTGTTGCAAGGACTGCACGCGTCACATGCACAGACAGAGAGCAGAACAGGGCCTGGCACTGCTTCCCGAGAGTCACCTGGGGTCGCTCTCAGGTCGGCGCCACTGCCCCCGGGCCAGTGCACACCA